TTCGATTCCCGAGAAGTGAAAAGAGAGAGGGGGGGGGGGGGGAGGGAAGAGTGCCTACGCAAAGGCAAGTCGGATCTTGGTGGATCCTAAGTACACGATTACGTGAAAACGCGCATCTTATGTTAATCATAATAATTCTATTGTAACAGGGAAAATATTTTTTAAATTCGTAATTATTGCGAAACATTCCGCGTTTTCTGCTTATTACCACGAGAGTCTGAGATTCAGATGATTGCATCTCGAGGCGAGATTGGCGTCGATACGCTCTGTAAGAGCGCTGAATTAAGCGTTGATTAGTTCCGCTGTCTTTCTCTTTCTCGTATACTGGAGCATCGGCGAGTACTCTTCTTTTCTCGCTCCCGTAAACTTTCACAGAGACACTCGCAGGGCCGATACGCGCTGCGCACACCGCAGCCTAATGGACAAGACGCTCTCGCTGACGATGCACACGGCTCTTGCGCTGACGAGCACGTTTCCTTTTGTTGCAGGCGGCGGGACCGCCGGTGCAGCTGGAGCCAGTGGACCTGTCCGTGAAAACTCCCGTGGTGTTGCAGGTGCCTCGGTACAGTCCAGCGGCGATAATTACCGCCGCCGCGAGAAGAGTGCCGTCGCCATCGACGACGCCCACGCCGCCGCCGCCGCCGCCGCCGCCGCCGCCACCGCCGCCGCCATCGCCGCTCTGCGTATCTACCGGTGAGTAGAGCTTACTACGAAATTTATGTACCATACGGCCGTACGTACACACGTATACACGGCTGGAATTTAAATCGAATCTTGCGACAGTGATACGATCGCGGTGTCCGATCGCCCGCGGATACGGGGAACGCGTTTCCACTCGTTCGTGGACTCTCACGTTTGTGTCGGATAGCTCGAATTTCGCTGCCATTCACGAGCGACCGCCGTTTGGCTGTTAACGTGCAAAATGCTATATTGAGCATTGAACCAAGTTCCCTCTATGAGAGATCAAAGTCGACTCTTCGTGGCTGAGATATCGTCAACATTCCGTATCATCTGAGTCGAAATTTAATAAGTAGGTTGTACGATTTATGTCCCCAATGATATCAAAGTGTTGTCCAAATTTAGGTTTATTAATTTTGGACAGACAAGTTTTGCAACTCCTTTCTCTGCACTACTTATTTTAAACCTATTTTAAACCTTTCAAATCTGTGCCAATAGAGAAGGAAAAATAAGAAAAGGAAAGAATATAAAAACTGAAAATTTCACCTGATTATATTAACCCATTAATTATTCTTTGATTTCTATTTAATATTTTACATATTTAATTTTTCATATCGCACAGCCTATCCGCAGTTGAGTAAGTCACATAAAATGAATGCATTACTTTTTAAAATTAAGATTAAAAATTAAATATAACTGAAGGTACAATCGAATATTAAATAATTGTAAAAATATTCATTCGCTGAAAATACTGCAGAAGAACTTGGAGCTATTTTAAGATCTTTAGCTCTTATCGATTCTCTTTTAAGTATTATGAAGAAAAGTAAATAATCATTTATGGCATCAAAAATAGTTCAGTCTATGACAGTTACATCTCAAGGTTCTGCAATGACCTTCCAAGTTGCACGGAATTTGCAGGGATTAATGTGGAACTTTCGAAATTTTGACTTGGATATTAGCGACGCGACGATGTCATGAAATACATAGAGTCTGATTTATCTGTGCTCGAGTAACTCGTTTGATTAGTATCCAGTCGAATAACTTGTAATCTCCTCCCGACTAATATCGGGGAGAACTTTAAATTTCTTCCGATTAACGTCTGCGCGATTAATCTCGAAACGTGAAAACGTACACCTAGCCGGCGCTCCAAAGACGCGTTTAAGATTCCAAGGCGGCAGCGGAATTCAACGTTATGAACTGCACGCGAACGCGCGACTAGAAACTACCTATCGGGCTTCGACGGTCGCGCGCCTGTGTACGTACGTTTACATGAGACTTAAGACGTATTTGCACGGCGTGCTTTCGATCATCACTCGGCGTGAATCCGTTCAGGATATCTCGCAATTACCCGAAGGGAGTGGCTCGAACGAGCGGATTTTTCCTTGAATGCGCGCAATAAGAAATCGTACGTTCCACGCGATACAATTACAGAACCAAAGAATTACACGGACATTACTGTGCGATATCTGATGATTTTTCGAGAGGTCGAAATTGACCTTAGATTCTTCGAGACTCGCTCCGCCCTCGCGCTCTCGTCAGACAGGCGTTGAAAATGAACCGCGTAATTCCGCCTTTACACAGCCGTGTACAGGTGCGGCGCGCCGGCGCACACAGGTGCACGGGCAGCGCAGCACGCGCAGAAAACGCCGCTCGGCCTCGACGCTCGCTTATGGATAAACCATAGAGAGATCCCCGGCGATTGCGTTGCTTTATGGGTTAATTATGTGGGATTTTTTCTGCATACCGCGCGCGGACGAGCCCACCGTTCGAGCGACCATTCTATGGAAAACCGATGCGCGCGGCGCGCGATAGACACGCACACATACGCACGCGTGCGAGCGTTTAAGGAGCGACGATGTGGGTAATCGTTGAATCTCTTCGCCGAATGCCGGCGAATAAATTACGAATTTGTCGCAATTGTGCGTTTCCTTCTCGCGCGGTGCTAGCCGCTCGGGATTTCGGAGATGTGCTCCGAGTAAAATGAAACAGAAATTAAGTGATTAAGTGACAATTAAATTCAAATAAAATTATACTCAACGAGGGTATCTCAAGGGTAGCTCGTGATGGCTCTCATCGAATTGTTCTCGATGATGTCGTGTTCGACCAAGTATATATCGGGGGACTGTAAGGGAATTTATTTACTTAATTATACTTATCTCTACAGGAAAATAAAACTCTTTGGTATACAAAATTTTGCCAATTGAAATTGTACATGCCAATACAAAAATTTCAATGACCCAACATGTAAATGCAGAATTAATATTCCGGTAAAATATACGGCAATCGTGAGAAACCCTGCTGAGCAGGTGGAGAAGATATACTTGACCGTGAACTTTGGCGAGGAACCGTATTCTGATTTGCGCGTCTTCGTAACGATACGATACGAAATAAGGAACCGAGGATGCGCGTACAAAGATGTTCGATCTACCTTGAGAGGTCTCAAGGCCGACGCGCGTTCACCGACGATTCCGCGATTGAAATAAAAACGCGACGCGGAGAGAGAAACAGAGAGAAAGAGAGATGGAGACCTGGTCTCGCTGGCGGCCGGGAGAGCCCGCGGGCAGAGCTGTAGCGCGCGAGATAGGTGGGAAGGAGCCACCTGAAATAATCTTAAAACGCCGTAATCGCCTCGATAAAGCGGCGAACCGCGGGCAAAAAGTCGCTTTAGAGCGCTCACAAGCGCGCTTAATAGTTTAAACCGCGAAATCGTTCGCACAGGCGCGCCACGCCTCTTTTTTATTCGCCTAGACAGAGAAAAGAAAGAGAGAGAGAAAAAGGAAAAAAGGTAGTCGGCGAAAACGACGACGGGAAAGAAACGCGGCGCCGCGACTAGCGTGTTCGGTGCTGAACGTTCACTTCCATTTCTGGATTAATGATCACGCACACCTGCGCAAAGTGGAATCCGAATGCGATTGGGGTCGCAACCCGTAGTCCTCGCCTGCGGCAGGCCTCGTCGTCGTCGTCGTCGTCGCCGCCGTCGTCGTGGTCGTGTGTACCGGTAGCCCGGGAGTATTTTTATCACGCGCGTTCACGCGGGCCGACGCGGATCTCGCGATTCGCCGTCTCGATAGCGACGATAGCGCGAGTGAGCGAGCGAGCGCGAAATCTCGCCTTCCCGGATTTCGTGATTTACGCCGCTGGAAAGCGGCCGATCGTACGTTAATTCTTTCGCGCTTAATGGGCGATTATACGTACACGTTCCATAAGGAAAGAAAATAAACTGACAAATGTGAGCCGCGCATAAAGTTCTGCTGAGGCGTCCGCGCGCGTTCCGGAATTATGTAAACGCCATTGCGATCTCTTGACAAGCTTATTGATACAGCGCTATCGGTGTACAGTTCAAATATACTCGATATTCCACTCGGACGCTGGAAACGTCCAAGCGGCTCGTAAACGGGAAGTACGGTACAACTTGTGAAGGGAAACGTGCTCTCTCGAGGTGAATTAGTAAAAATATTTCTGATCGGAGTCGGCAAAAGGAGTATTTCATCGACAGTCATCGATTTTCAGTGAAAACATTCCCGCTTTGCCGTTTCGTCTTACATCTCGCTGATTTTGATCGGTGTAAGAAAGATCTCTACAAAATCTGCAGCATACAAATTCGTAATACGCTGTACGAGATCAAATCTCCTGCGTCATAGTGATACTGGAATTAACGACTTCCGTGCAATTTGCATGCGACGACATTGTCCACGTTTGCAAACCACATCATTGATGTGGTAACAGTCGCTACTGTTAATTGATCATTTCGGCGAGGTTTTGCTGATTGCAATGTTATAGTTCTAGTTGAACCGTCAGTTATAAATACGTGGCTTAATGCAGAGATAGCACGGATTTGATTAAATCTTTATTATCGTATTTCGGAACATTTCAGAGCGAAGAATGCACTGATTGTATTTTAGAGCGTAGACGATCGAAAATATTCCGCGGAGTTCACGTCGCTCCCTCTCTTCCGGGTTGAAGAGCTCCACCGCCGTGGTGGAACCCGCTCCACGTCGTCGTGCGTAAAAACAGCGGCATCTCGTTCAGCATCCGCCGCGGCACGTGACATTCCCCGCGGAGACGAGGGAGACGACGACGGCGACGGCGGCGGCGGTTCTCTCGGACGTGGTCGCGAGTCGGCGGTGGTCGATGGTACATACACCCCTCGGCCCCATCGACATTCTATTGTTTTCCAGTAAACTCCGCCGGTGATCTCCCGCGGCGATATAACGCGGACGGATATTAAAGAGCGCCCGTAGATGTCGGTTGCCTGGCCTTTTCCTTGACTTCCAGCGGCCGCTCGCGTCCGCGTTCATAACTCGCTGCCGTTGCCGCCATGGCTATCGGAAAATTCCGATCGTGTGTGAACGCCATATACGCAACGTCGACATGATTCTCGTTGTGGGCCCGCGCGACTGCCGGTGCTAAACCCGATCGTGTTGGACAGCGCATTTCGCGAGCCTGACGCAACAAAGTCAGGCCTGCTGGAAAAACTGTGATCGATCTGTCATCGAGGACATATCTTGCCGGGTGAATTAAATGATCGGTAAGCACACGTACTCGTCGACGGTGCATTGGACAGCTCGTTATCGAAAAATTATCGCCAAGCGCAACATTGATCTTTTGAGTGCTGTGTCTAACAAGTTTCTTCGACTCAGAAATATTCAAACATTCAATTATCGACAGTAAAATGCCAGTTTCGACGTGGATTGAACTTTCATTTGGGTTTTAACTGTATCGATACTTAAATTCAGATTAATCGACGTTGGTAGAAACGTACATAAATCATCGATATTCTCAAAAGCTTGGTTTCTCTCGAGACCAGCATTGCAGTTAAGCTTCTTGCCTGCACTTGCTATGGGCCATATTAATAGTTGTTATTTGAAACTTGAGATACTTAGATTTTCATTTAGAGTTACCCGAATAAAGTTATATTTTATTAGAGAGATCCGAATTTTTTAGTGGAATTATATAATATAATTGAAATTGTATCTCTGTAATAGCGATTTAACCGGAAAACTTTCATCTTTGAA